AGTGTTGTTTGCTGGAAAGCAGGTCCACCCCCCCCCCCCCCCCCCCGCGACAAAAAAAAAAAAACCCGATCCCGCTTTCCGTGAACTCATCGAACTACCACCGGTCACGATTTTTGTGACCGATGACTGGCTCTTGTTCACCGACCCCGTGAACGGTGAACGGGAGTATGGCACTGAGTAGATTCACGTACTCAGAATTTGCTTGTGCCATGTGGACCGATTGCTCCGTCCCGTCTGCGTGCCGACTCCCCGCATCCCAATCACGACCAATTTCGTATAACAAGGAAAGGACACCTGTCTGCGAGTGGGACGTACAGGAAGCAGTCGCCAATATTGTCAGATGCTATTATTTTCCACTGGAGACGAGGTGCTGTGGATTCGTAGGCGCCAGTTTTGTCATTATCGATACTCACTTTCGTGCGTACTCGTTGCTTTTACCTCTTAACGAGTTGATCGTCATCGCGTGGAATCGTGGACGGCAGTAGCACGGTACTAGCACCCCATTGGCCTAATACCCTGTGTAGCAACTGTTGCCGCGCAGAGCGGTACCGGAAAAGGGGGTTCCACTACCGAACAGGTGGCAAAGACGAACACAAGGAATGAGCAACCAGGCTACGGCCATCCATGTCAGATTTCGAGCTCTGCAACGAGCGGCGTCGAGATCTGATCCAAAAACGAGATCCCACGTGTGTACCCTCGCCCTTCCACTCTAAAAGACGGCCCGTCTCCCACCCAAAAGTTCAGCGATACTTTTTGGATTGAATGGATGTTTGAAAATCGTGCACGTTCGCTTCCTCCCCACGAGTAGATGACCAGTTCTCACTAAAACCAGAACCACGTGGGGGACTTCAGTTCCGTCTGAGTCCCCACACTCAATTTCCCAAAAATTATTGGCACACCCCATTTTGTCGTCTTTCAGGGCCTATTCTGCACAATTAATCACTCTGACCAAAAAACAGCACAGGGCGTGAGGTTGGAACGTCACATGCGTCCCTGAACAATGTGGTTGTTTGTGTGGTCAGACATGCAATTGTAGGAAGTGCGAGGTACCGGGCTCACCCACCTAAGTTGGGCACGTGGATGTCAAGGATTGGTGATCCTTTTGTATATTGTATCCTACTTCACCCCACCCACCAAGCTAATAAACTGTTGTTGTTGCCGTTATGTGTTTGACCAGAGATGTAGTTGTGGTGGTAGCAAGCCGCTGGGTCTTTCTGCTACTGGGGGGGTTGGAGACAGTCTTACTGTTGTGCTACCCTCCATTTACCCGGGTAACAGCATCATGTTGCGCGACCTGATTTTGTGGCCTGTGCTAAACGTCCAATTCAAGTAGGCAGGGCTACCCCCCCGTTCCCCAACCCCCGCTCTTAGTGCTCTGCTGTGGTTCTGAGCTCTGTCGTTCCTGTAGATGTATGTCCCTGCCCTTTATACTATTTGAGTCAACCTCCAGCCGGGCCCCTGCCTGCCCTGCATGTGTAGCTATTCTCCGTCAATTCCTGCTTCCTATCATCTGTCAAGCCTCTGCTAATTCTCTACCATTGTCACCCTCGTCACATGTTTAATCTAGCAATCTTTCTTTTTTTTTTTTTTTTTTTTTTTTTTTATAAACAAAACATTGTATTCCATTGAAAGAAATGCAGAGGCCGGGAACCTCACAATTCAACCCGGAGTTATCCCGGCAGCGTCAGCCGGTTTAGCTTCCGACCACACATCAACAGACTGTAACAACTTGCTAGTCTTCCTACGACACTTTACAGATCTTCTCAGTTCCTGAAAACAGTTAACTTTGCAACCACATACTATTCTCACAGTTTCGTGCACGGATTATCTACTCCATCTACCCCCCCCTAGCCTCGACTACTCCTAGTTCCCGGACCTACGTACCGGCCCGGAACCCGGCCTAACCTACGGCCGGGGGAACCATGTTCCATTCTGCCCCCTGACACTCTGACCCCAACCTTCGCGGTCTACTGTGACCGCCGACTGGAACCGAGTGTGCCTGGTTCAGGAACAAAAAAACCAACGGCATCAAGCCCTACAACGCCACACAAACCTTAAACAACAATAGAACAACCAGAAACTCCACAGTCCTACTCGAAGCTGATCACAATCCCTAGCCTCTGCCTCCTCCTCCAGCCATCTCCCCAGTACCAGTTTGCCTTCTGGAGAGACATGTGCCAGGCCCAATCCCCATGTTCTACGGAACCAGTTCTGGCCCTGAAGGGAGTTCTTTTGAGTCACCTTCCGGGCCCAGTCCGCCTTTATAGCTGCAACCAACAGTTTCTTGAATAACCCCTCCGCCGCCTTCTCCTGTAGACTCTCTCCTTGGAACCGGAGACTGTTCCTATCCGTCCAGATGATCCAGAGCATTATGCCCCTGCCTACCTGTGCAATGTAGGCTCAGCCCTCGGAGTATCTGTGATTCTGTGGTACACAGCCAGTAAGCACCCACCTTTTCCCAGTTAGGTCTGCCTCGCCCGCAAACCTCCTCCAATGATATTCCCACCATCTCCACCACTTCCTGGATTTGGGGCACTCCCACCAGAGATGTTGCATCGACTCAGGGGCTTCTTGACATCTGTCGCAGACCGTTCTCACCTCCATACCCTTCTCGGACAGCCACTGCGACGTCGGGACCGCTAGGTGCGACTGCAGCCACAGCAGTAAGGCAATTTTCTGAGATGGGAGCAGCTGCAGTTGCGACCAGAGATTAGTGAGTTCCCACTCCGAAGGTGAGGCCAGTTGAACTTCGTTTCGATCCCAACGCCCTCTGATCTTCTCACATACAGACTCCGGGTCCCTCTTCCGCTTTAAGATTAGACTCGTGTTAAGATTTTCCAGTCCCATGATCACTGTCCCTCCCACCTGCCAACCCCAGACGGAATGGTCAATCCTCATGCGGCGCAGTGCGGTCCCGTTCCCGACTAGTACCGGAACCAGTGGGAAGCCTTCCTCGCTCGGGGGAATCATTCTTACCCGAATGTCCTCCATCCGTGTTAGAACGTACTGTTGCCGCATTCCAACCCTCTCCAGAGTAGGAAGAGAGGGGAGGACTCGTTTGTACGTTTCCAACCAGCACTTGCCTGGGCATTCCACAGACCAGCTTTCCAATCTACAGAACTGTTCCATTCCCTCAAAAGTCGTGGCGAACGAGGTACCTGACAGGTCTTGCCTTCAGGGCCAAGGAGCTGCTTCCAATCCTCCGGAATTGCCCGCAGGATCATCTCCAGCGGACTTTCCTGGTTCGGGAGGTGTCCCAGGGTCTGTGTTTTTTTTTTTTTTTTTTTTTTTTTAATCTGCTGTGGTTTTGAGTTCTGTCGCCCATGTAGATGCATGGCTGTGCCCTTTGTAGTGATTGGGCCTAGCCTCCAGCAGCCCCTACCTGGCCGGTATGAATAGCTATTCTCTGTTAATTCCTGATTCGTATCATCTGTCAAGCCAATCCGGTGTTCCCTTTTCTTTTTCTGTTTTTTTTTTCTCTCTTTTCTTTTTTTTGGGGAGGGGGGGGGATGTCACATGGACGCGTGCCCCCTCTACCACAAATAATGCCGTTAAGGTAGTAACACCTCCTTGGGTGTGACTTAAGCCAGGTGAATCCCGAAGTGCAATGGGAGACCCTGCAACTCCCCATCCGCCTTTGTGATCACGGATGAGCCCGGCCGGTTTTTTTTTTTTTTTTTTTTTTTTCCGGCCAGGTAAGTATCCGGTCTTCTTCTTCTTGACCCTTCACGGCAGTTACGCATGCAGAGTACATGGCCAGAGTGAGAGCAGTGAAGCCATGTTTGGTGGAGGATGCGTATTGGGGGGTTAAATGATTTCCGTTAAAATCGTTGTCTCGTCCCGGGTTCGAGTCAGTAGCAGCGTTCAGTTTACTCAATGCCTGAATGTGGACGTGTTTGCGGAGATATGCCGTTGAGGAAAGTCAACGCTATTTCTGCACATCTCCACAACCACGTCCTATTCAGGCGTTGAGTCTGCTAGATCTGGAACCGTACTATCCGACCCGAATTACTCGCACTACAACTTTTCCACGTATCGTATTTTGGAAGGAATTGCGGTCAGATACGTCCAGATAGAAGTATGGCCGTGAATGCGTTCAGATACATTTGAGATACTGCGAGTGTGCGTACGCCCTGATTTAGGCCATAGCCGAGTAGCACATCATGTCCTTCCTTCAGGACATCCGTCAAAATTGGAACCATACGGAGAAGATTAGCATGGCCCCTGCGCAGGGATGATACAGTAGGGCATCAAATTTTTGGCCGAGTCTGGCCGCATGTATTTGCGGACCCCTCTGACCAATTTAGTAGTGCGAGTATAATCTTATTCACCCCTGGGGGGTGAGTATGCAATACTTCGGTGCAGCTCCAGTACAGCCACCGGCGTGCTGTCTTCCTGTGCCTTCCGCCCCCTACGTCGACTGCTTCCCCTCGCCGGCCGCTGAAATGTTCTGCTAAGTACTCTTGAGGCGCAAGCACTGTGCATTGATGTGATGTGGGGGCGGATTGTAGCGTTGAAGGGTGGAAGGCTGGAAGCGACTGGTGACCGATGATGTGACGTGTTCTTTAGGTGTCCACGTGTCAGGCTCTGGGTGGTGAATCACTCAAGGAGTCAAGCATAAATCATCGTGTAGAGTCTTCAGCGACTCTGTAGACGTCCACGATCATGAGTCGATGCGGTCACCTACTGACTTACTCAGACTCTCAGAGGTGAGATGGTCACCTCTCGACTCCGAGTGCCTACAATCGTTGCACTCAGGTTGGAATAGCAGCCTATTCTCGCTGTTTCCTCACCACCGGCGCTCTGCCGAACGTCCCCCCCCCCCCCCCCCCCCCCCCCCCCCCCCCCCCCCCCCCCCCCCCGCCCCTCTCTCTCTCTCTCTCTCTCTCCCTCTCTCTTTTGTTGTATGTCGTCGAAGGTCGAGGGTTGATGGCTGACATAGATATCGACGAAGTAAAAAAGGGAGTCGAAGCACGCTTTGACTTTCATATTGCGTCCGGAAGTGAAGGCAAAAGCACGTTTAGAATCATTGTCGTCTTTTTCTGAAAGGAAAGGACTATGACGATGCGGCGCAGCCGGTGCTTGTCTTTCTCTCAGAGCTTCATCCAGCGTGAAGAGCTTAGTCAGACTCTAGGAGTGGCGGCGCACGAGGAGGCTGTGTACCGTCTCGGGAATTTAGCAAGCTAGCTGCATTTTTCGTTGTCGACTTGTCATCGTGTGGTCCAGGTTGATCGCAGTTCAGCTTGATCGGCAAGATTGAGGGTTCAATTAGAGGTTGAGATTGATCCATCGAGTGCCAAATCGAATGTCATTGATGTATAGAAGTGACTTATACGTCGTCGCAGTTTACGTTGGAGTCTTGACTGTTTGACGGCAAGTTTGAGGGATTTCTCGGAGATTCTCTGACACTCGATGCCAATTGTTTTGAGTTTAGGTCACGGTTTTGGCAGGTGAGGTGACACGCAGAGGAGAGAATCGGGAGAGAGAGAGAGAGAGAGAGAGAGAGAGAGAGAGAGAGAGAGAGAGAGAGAGAGATGGCGGAAGTGGTGGAGCAAGCTCAGCATGCTGCAGCTATGGCTGCCAGCAGAGTCCAAGAGACTGCGGCCCAAGCTGTGGCGTTGGTTCACAATCATGGCCCACAGCCTGTCAGACGGGCGATCGAACGTGTTCAAGGACTTAGTTGGAAGCAATGGGCTATTATTGTCCCTCTTATTGGTATGGCGGCCACTGCTCTAACCGTGGTGGTCCTCCTGGCGGCGCCACCTGTACTCATCGTTGGAGGTGGATTATTCCTGTTTTTCTTGCCGGTCATCCTGCTGACGGCCCCTCTCTGGATACCTGTAGCTGTTGTTTTTTTAATATTCACAGGGATCAGCCTCGCAGCTGCAGGTGAGTAAATTACCACAAAGGAAAGGGGAAGGGAGAATACGCATGAACAAACGCTGATAAGTTGGGGGCATACCCACGCACACACACGCACACACACGCACACACGCACACACGCACACACACACACGCACACACACGCACACACGAACACACACAGAGACAGAGAGAGAGAGAGAGAGAGAGAGAGAGAGAGAGAGAGAGAGAGAGAGAGAGAGAGAG